ATAGAATAGAATAGAATAGAATAGAATAGAATAGAATAGAATAGAATTCTTTATTGGCCAAGTGTGGTTGGACTCACAGGAAATTTGTCTTGGTGCAAATACTCTCAGTATACATAAAAGAAAAGATACATTCATCAAGAATCATAAGGTACAACACTTAGTGATAGTCATAGGGTACAATAAGCAATCAAATCATACTTGGAAGCAGTCAATATAAATCGTAGGATAAAAGCAACAAAGTTACAGTCATACAGTCACAAGTGGGAGGGGATGGGTGATAAGGAATGATGAGAAGATTAATAGTAATAGTAGTGCAGACTTTGTAATCGTTGAACAATGTTGAGGGAATTATTTGTTTAGCAGAGTGATGGCTTTCGGGGAAAAAAACATTCTTGTGTCTAGTTTTAAACTGCAAACTTTAACTATGTTAAAGAAAAAATTCCTTATAATTAATATTTCTACTCTGCCTGCCCTGGCTGTTTTTTTTTTCAGTTTCAAAAGTCCCAAAGTGGTTCCTAGATAGAAATAAAGTTGATCAAAGTCTTTTCTTTAATCAAAGCTGTAAATTTCACTATCTCTGATAATGCCGTCAGCTTTATCAGCCATCCTTCCATTATAAGTATTTATAAGTTCTTCCACTTCTATATAAAAGTCTTGCTGTTGTTATTATATATAAAAACAAAGATCCATAAGATCTTTCAATCTGTCCATTTTGTTCATTAACCTCAAAAGGGAAAAAACCCTCTGGTTTCAAATGTATATTTATTTTTAAAATCTTCTGAATCAAAATATCTATTCCATTCCAATATTTTCTAGTTTTCCTACATGATCCCCAAAGATGAAAAAATGTACCCCCAGTTTGATTACATTTCCAGCAAATATTTGAAATTCCATTACATTTTTGTCAATTTATTCAGTATCAAATACCAGTGATACTTCATTGCTATTCCTGAACTATTCACAAGGTAACTCTGAAACTATTTTTCTATGGAAGAAAAAGTATTGTCTAATTTGAAACTATCATGCCCACATATTGTTTTTTAAAACATTGGTAACTTCTCCCCATGTATAAGATATTTAGCCCATTTCTTTCTGTGATGTGATAATTAAAATTGGGCATAATACAAAACTCGAGATGGCTGTCTCATAGATATGATATATTGTAAGTATTATGGCATTAGAATTTTATTCTGAATTCTGAATTCCTTAATGATTACCAGTATGGAATTTGTCCTTTTCTCAACCTTTCGTCCCCTGTTCCTCAAGCTTTCTTGGTCATTGACCACCAGGCCAAATTACAACAGCATATAAATAAAATTCAGACTATGTACTTCAATGTGCCTCAGTTAAACTTGCTTGTGCTTCTATCACTGGTTCTTTTACATGCACCCAATTCAAACCCAAGAAAGCCAAGATAATCACACACACACACACACACACACACACACACACACACACACTGAACTCCTAGTACTCCCTGCTCACTACTCACTCTTTCCCTCTTCTACTACACCTACTACTACTACAATTACTTCTCTTTGAGAGTCCTACTGCTGGAGAACAGTATCTTTTTCTATCTGCTTTAGACTGCCTCACAAATGCATACACTGCCTTCCCTTGCTCCCAAAGGCCAACATCCTCAGCTTTTATAATCTACAATTGCTACGCTGACTAGAGAGAGGACTTAATTGGAGCAGCACAGGTACTGGCTATTTTGTAGGCAGTCTGTTATCTCACAGTTATTTTGCATTTATAATTTTAGTTTTATTTTCCTATTTGGCTTCTCTTTTTTGTTCTTCTGTTCTCTCCCCCCAGCTAGAGAATGCTGTAATTTACAAAAGTCATCCTGAGAGAAAGCTATCAATATAAGTAATAAATGCAATGCGGAATAATTGAAGCTTCAAATTCAATAATCTGCTTCAAATTCAATAAAAAATTTGCATCTGCCCTGAAAAACATTATGTGGCTGAAAAATACAATTATACATAAAAGGAGGTTTCTTCAATGGCTAAGTATTTGTTCAAATCAAATGGACATTTTAAAGGAATTATTCATTAAATTTTAGATTTCTCTGTCTCCAAACAAAGATCAACAAAGTTAAATAATAAGCACACATAGTTATACAGGTATATAATTTTCTCACCCCCCCCACCACATATTCACATATACATACATGTCAGAATACTGCACCAAAAATTGAAATCACTAGCTTGAAGCTATTAGACAAATGTGCATCTCTGCAGATCTGATGCTTAACTTGGAACTCTATTTAAATTCTTGGCAAAGTCATGCATATTTTCTCAGGTAAAACGTCAATATTAGCAAAGTGCAATGAACACTGAATTTCGTCATTTTCCATGGAAAGCAGCGGTATGCAGTGTTTATATTACTCGTCTCAACAACAACAAAAATCTAAACATTATTCATCTTTGGACTGAAACAAGACTTTGTGCTCAATTCGGTTGCATTTTTTAAAAAGAATGTCTGTTTAACCAGCTATAAGACTACAGTATTCCTAATTTTCCAAAAGTACAGGTGTTGTTTTAGATATACATAGAAATATTTTACTGTACAAATAACTTTTTTTAAACTGCCTGTGGGAAATCTTCAAAAGCCAAAATAATCGGTTTTTATCCATAAATGATAATCTGCTTCTGTACTAATATTGTCTAATAGTCTATTTTTGTAGCACAGGAAAAAGATTGTACAATAGATGGGACACAATGGATCCTGCAATACTGTTGGATCTGAAAAGCCAATGTGACTTGCTTAGAATTGCATAGTTAAAGAAATAATAGCTGTCTGGATCTGTGCTTAATTAACACTTGATTTGGGCAAGATAACCTTACCTAGATGTACCTAGATGTTTGCTGTTATATTTGGGATAGAAAATATCAAATACCCAAATACAAAAGAGACAAGTGTTTATGGTTTCATATATCTTGTGACACAGCTTTCTTAATCATGTGATTTTCTTAAGCTGGATAGCACATGAAGTAAAGAAAAATTTCAGCATTTCATAGAAAAATTATGTTCCAAATAATCTGAAACAGAAATAAGACACAGCTTGTTAAGGTAGATGTAGAATATGGTGTAGGGTTTCCTGCCTAAGCAGGGGGTTGAAGACCTCCAAGGTCCCTTCCAACTCTGTTATTCTATATATTTGTAAGCACCAGTAACAAAAATAATTAAAAACACAAAAATTATTTAATAAGAATCAGCAAGCTTCTAAAATGCTGGATCTATGATATAGAAAAGTTTTGTTTTTGAAGAATTCAGATATTAGAAAATTTCATCCATTCCCCAGTAGCAATCTTCACTAAACCAGATGGCCATCCATAATATGCAATCCACCATTTACTGGCATTGATTTGCTGCCCCATCAACCTCAGCTATTCTGTCTCAACAAGACTGAGTAAGAGATGCTGTACTTAAAGATTTAATTCAGGCAAGTTAAGCAGAGTAACCAATGGGTTCTCTTGGGTCCACATCCCCAAACACTAAGCATCACCTGCAATTAGGGAAATCAAATCCCTCTCCTTAATGCAGGATTGAGCAAGGTGTTTAGGCAGATGCTTTAAAGCAGGGGTCAAACTTGTGGCCCGCAGAGCAGATGCACCATGTGCTGCCTCTGCCCCTGCCCAGTTTAGCAAAGAGGGGGAAGTCCTGATACATCACATGACACCACTGTGATGCTGCAAGTTTGACACCCCTGCTTTAAACTGTGGATTTAACCACTGTTCAAGCTACCTAACAGTCACTTGAGTTAGGGCAACTTCTGAACACAGGTCTAGTGTCCTTTGAGAGTATTAAAGTTGCATTTAAATATAGTTCAGCTGACAGGTTACAGATTGGGGAGGAATGCTGGTGAAATGGAAGGAAACTCCCTCTGACACCATCCCCATCTTCAGTGATAGCTGAGTGATGCTAGGAGGCATCATAATTAATTTCATTAAGAAAATAACCTTCCATAATTAAAAAAAATCAGTGACTAAGAGCAGCTGAAATATAGAATGTTACTGAGGGAGTTGAAAACAAACAAAGGAAAACAAAATTGAAAAACTGACGGAAGAAGGAAACAACTGATATGCTCATCCTAGAATAAGAGAAGGGGGGAAGGAGAAATTTGAAAGTAAATGTCCAAAGTATCTATAGGGGAATTCTAGATCATGCTTTCTTTAGGCTTCCTTACATTTCGCTCCAGCAATGAATGTTACAAGTGGATAATTTTGAGCAGCAGAATGAAAAGGAAAAGGACAATGAGGCATGTAAGATGAAAGCTAGATAAAGAAAAGGGCATCCTAACTTCTAGACTACTGCTCACTCAATAACACTAGGCATGCCATTGTCAAACTACAGAGTATATTTTTGTAATGGAATACAAAATACTTCCTATATTAGTTGTTTTGTTAATTTATTTTGCATGAAGTTACCCAGTGGTAAGATGAGAAGGCAATAAGTTCAATAAATAAATAAATAAAATTCCCTTTCAAGTAAGCTAGCAGTATGGTTTTTATGCTCATTGAATTCAGAAACAAAAGGTTTATTGACTTCTTAGAGTACGAATGAACTTAGAGTATGAATGAATGTTTATTTGACCCAGGAATAATTCTGACAGTGGAGGTCTCTTTAGTGCCCAGAACCTTCATAAAAACATCCTCCTTTGTTGACCTTTGTTCTCTATTAGAAAAAAGAGAAATATACTCAGAAATATAATCTAATATTAAGCCTGTACTATCAGGATACATATAAGTGAAAAGCTTAGTTATCAGAAATTCTGCCATTACCATCTGATTCTAGCATTTATGTCATCATCATCATCATAGAAAAAAACACCACAGCGGTTGATAGGGAACAATGAAAGTTTTGGAAAAGAGATTTAGCTGTGATGCAATATAGCTAACAGAAATAAGAATCATGCAAATAATGGCTTTCCTTGTGACATCCAATGGAAGCAAACATTGGATTGAAACTATGATGTTGGAGAAGACTACCAATAATAACATGAGCAGCCAAAAAAGCAAACAAATGGATCATAGAACAATTCAGAGATTTTACCTGAGATACAAATGACCAGCCCAAATTAACATATTTTGAACACATTATGAGAAAACCTAGCTCTCTTGAGAAGTCTGTAATTGGATCTCTAGTAGTAGCTTTCTTGAGCTAAGAGAGCCAGTTCAGTGTAGTGGTTAAAGCTGTTGCTTAAAAATCAGGAGACTGTGAATTCTAGGTCTCCTTTGAGCTCATAAGTGAACTGGTTGACTTTGGGCCATTCATACTCTGTCAGCAAAACCCACGTACTGTAAAAGGATTATTGTTGCGGGGAAAAAGGAGGTAGGAGTACTAGGTAAATTCACTGCCCCAAATTATATACATATACATGTGTTTGTGGCATAAAATCTGATGATGACAATTATAATATAATAATGGGAAAGGCAGAAGGCAAAAAAAAGAGGCTAGACTTAAATGCAGCAGTGATGGGCAATTATTGGAAGATCAAAAGAAACAGGTTAGGGGAAAAGCCTATCCGTATTGTTTCTAGGAGTCAGCATTAATTGTATGGCATATAGTTAAGAAGCGAAAATTCCTCCCAATGATTTGCTCCAAGATCAACTTTAATAATGACCTGTTTGAGACTTGCTTTGACTTACAATTTTCTCTTTATGTGTATTATATATTTCTGGGTAAAGTGGGGAGGGGAAGAGTCAAGGATGTGTATGGAAGCTTTTTACATTTTTCAACCAAAAAATAAATAAACAAAGAGGAAAGGAAGATCCCAAGGTGACAAGAACAGCTGCTTCTTGTGAGTAACTTGCATCAAATGAGGGTTTTGCAGTTGGCTTTTGAGTTGAGCAGCTGGGAGTTGGAGCTTGGATTTCCACCAAACTCACAGACATAAATTCCTACAAGTCTGATTTCTTAATCAGGTTTGGAACTTGCTTCTTAACTGCTTTTAAACTATTAAGAACCTTTTGATCAATAGGCCTTATAACACATCCTGAGACAGTTTTCTTTAATACTTAGTAAAATAAAATTTAAATATAAGCTTAAGACATAAAAATGTGGGGTTTTTTAATCAACAGTAAAAAGGTGATCACAAAAATGATTTTGGAAAGCTATAAACAGACGAAGGGGTCAGATGGATTTGAGATAAAATTTTAAAGTTAATCATAAGAAACCTTCCTATGGGAACATGCTGTTGCTTTGAATTCTTTAAAGAAAACATGATAGGATGGGAATTTGAAGATTGGACACTAGAGGGAACCCAAATGAATTAAAGACTGCAATTAAAGAAGAACACTTACTTTTGCTTTGACTCATTTGAATCATTTCTAAAGAGTTAAAGTCTGCTGAAATGATGCACCAAGTAATGAGATACTGTAGGTCTCAAGCACTTTGATATTATGTATTTCTCATTCAAGCTTTCAGGAACAGGAAGGAAGGAAGGAAGGAAGGAAGGAAGGAAGGAAGGAAGGAAGG